TATATGGATGGATGTTTGTTAGAGTTTGTAGCCTTAACGACTGAACGGATTTCGATGAAATTCGGCATAAACGTGGAGCGTAGTCTGGAAGAACATATAGGCTACTCACTTATGTTTTTTTTTATTACACGCAGACGGAGTCGCGGGCGAAAGCTATCATAAAACAAGTAATAATAATAGATGCTTAAAAATGAGTGAAGGGATTATGTAATTAATTTTTATACCTTTGTTTTAAATCAAAATACTTAGCGATACAGAAGGTTTCCATGTACTTAAGGAAGTTAAATATGAACACATATTTAATATATTGTTACCCCTGGCTTCATTAGACAGCGAGTCGATTCTCAAACATTAAATACGACGATGCCGTCTAATAATGTCTCATTATTGTTAAGAATTATTAAAATTAATACATCCCCATATGAAGGCAACTCGGCTTGATAAAGCAGATTCATTAAGAGCGTTTCAGATGTTTAATTTAAGGCTTATGAAGTTATTTGTTTGCACAATGAAATAATCTGCTACTGGGAGAAAAGATTGATCAGCTTTGCCTTTCTTGTTTGTCGTATACTGCATGTTTAATTTATACTTACATCAAGCTGTGATTAGTGGTTTCGTTTTTTTTATTCTTCAAAAAAAAATCTTTAATTGTTTTAAAAATGTTAACATATAATCGTTTGCTGATATTAGAATATTACCAACAATTTTTTAATCAATTGTCTAGAGTAAATCGCCTACAGTAGATAGGTATGAATTGGAAGCAATAAATATCAGTGACGGAAGCCTAATTAATATAATAAACTAGTCCTCTACCATCCTTCCTTTACTTATAAATAATACCGAAACGCCGTAAGCAGGCCGCCGTAGGTTTGTAATAAATAATCTATGAAAAGATTTTTCCTGCTGTTTTCGGTGCCCACGGTACAGGCATTGCCTAGTGTGGGCATCACCAGATTAATCGTATATTAACCACAAATTGTAATTATCTTTTAGTTGGTATAACTGTTATGGTAATTGTTAATATCTTGTTTTTTAATAAAAATTATTTCTATTTCTATAAAAAAAAGGTTAGGAAAAGGAAAGGGTTTTTAGTGCATTATCTATAAATGGAGATTTCAATGTGCAGCGGTTACCCGTTCGTTTGCCACCTTATACCTACTGCAAAAAGTTCATAATAAAATCATCTTACCATGCAGTGTCTATCTCTGTATAAGACGAAAATAGGTGTATCAAAATTAGGTTATTAATAGAGCGTACATACTAATTTATCTATGAAATATTTTATCATATATAGGAATCTATTCAATAAGGAATAACGTAGTCTCCCTTACTCGAGCCCCTCACGGTCTCGCCTTCAAGGACGGTTTAATTAACTTAATAAATACACACTCCGTTCATTAAGCGCATACGTCGAATATTATGAGCATCTCTACACAATGAGCCGGAAGGATACTTCACTAATCTACATACGAGTACCGATATAATACAGACAAAAGGACTGTAAGACCTTCGCTTAAGTTTATTAAAGGAATTCAAACGTCTAATAGAAATCACGCTTATTCAAAATAATGGACATTGAAAATCTACAAACCTTCTTACTAATATTACAAACGCAAAAGTTTAAATGGATGGTTGTTTTTAGGGTTTGTAGACTAAACTACTAAAAGAGATGTAGAGTATAGTCTGGAAGTACACATACAACATACAAGTACAGTACTTTTGGTTTTTTTAATTCCACGCGGACGGTGTCGCAGGCGAAAGCTAGTTAATTTAAAAATATCTAGTATACAAATCTTCTTTGGGATCCACAGAACATCCTATCTAAGCTTTGTCATAAACGTTACAATGATTTAACTATACTGAAACAAACAAGCATTTAATTTTACTTTAGACTTGCTAGTAACAAATATCAGTATCCGGACGTGAAAAAAACACTAGTAGTCGTGCCATCACTTATTACACAAATGTGACACGATCTTAACAAAAACTAGCGACGGCAGACAGTGTGGCACCGATTTTTTTCGAATGAAATATCAGCTCTTAAACAAACATGAGAATAGGTCACCGCTGACATGTGGCCAGAGGTCTACTCGACACATAAATCTGAACCCGGAAACGGTTATGTGGGTGTGACCCTACAAACTATGCGGGTTCAATGTTTTTATTACCGCTCACGTTATATTGCCTTTTTCATTAACAAATCGAGAGTAAAATATATAATTTGTAATTCACTGGGTAGCTAGAATAGCAACACACCAATATAGTTGTGATACTACAGATTGTATCAAAGAGTAGAATTTGCTGCTATCATCAACTTTAATGCTTTTTAACCTGTAACAAAATAAACGGCATAATAACACGTGGATAGATGTAGGATATGTTTGTACCATACACTTCATACCCATTAGATTAAGTTTTAAAACATCCAGCTTTATTCAAACGACCACAAACAAGGGCCGGTATCATTACGTACAAACAAAACCGAAACGAGCGGGACCCCGGTCCGTTAAATAAAACGATTACAGCCAAAATCTAACGGCACTTCAAACGGCATCCCGTCGAAATTACTCGACGCGTATAAACAGAATCATCATTGTAACACGTGTAATTTCGCTTTCCCGCTATTACGTTGAGCGGGAAACTGCCCGTGCAGGGCCCCCGGTGAATAATTGAGCGGCCTGTGAGAGATGGACCCGCGAAAATATGAAATGATTCTGTCCGGAGATTTGCGCCTGTTAGCTCGTACGTGATTCAGGCACCTGTATAAATGAGCCCCGCCGCTCGAATCGTCGGATTTATACACTGTGTTAACAGTAAAGGACAGATTATTTGTTTAGTTGTCGCGAATGCGTACCGCTTCGTTAAAACGTGAAATTTATACGGACGAGGATGGATTTATGTTGTATTGTTTGCGGTTAGGCTTTTAATTTATTTTACGGCCTTTTTTGGTGGGTTTATAGGGGAAATACCGTAAGTATTTTTACCCTTTTAAGTCAGTAAGTAGACAGTGATAAGTGAAGTATTGTACTGAATTTATTACGATAGCTTTGAAATTAAAACCTATTGTTGAAGTTAAACATCACTATTTAAGAAAATAAAGATATTTTTTTCACAGTATCGATAGTCCCAACGTGATCGTAAGATTAAGAAAGACAAAAAATAATCAAAACAAAAATGAACGCACACGCCAAGGAATAACGTTGGTTCCTAATCCGAAGCGGGAAGCGAACCCGACACCGCGACCGCGGCCCACCGGCGCGCTTCCTCGCTTCCTAGCTCGTCACTTTTTGTTGCCGACCAATTTATAGTTCCGGCCACCCTGCTCGGACACGTGGATAAACTTTGATTTATATTTAGAAATTTATTAGACGTAATGTTTTTTACGCCAATCGAAATGAACGTAGATCGTGGACTTGATGCATTAGCATTTTGTAAAGGCGACAAGAATCATTAAATGGTTGAAGGTGAATCAATATTCGTATTGATATTGTGATAAAAGGTATCCTATGTCAATGATATATTAATAAACAGGTTTGTACATAATGATTCAAATTGTCGAGTAAACAAGCATTCTTATGACTTATATAGCACACAATTTCGATTATCAACCTTTTATATGGATATTTATTAAATAAAACAGCATATTTTCACATGTGAAAATAAAAAAAATAGTAATATAACGCTTTTTATTTTAACATTTATTAAAAACTTAAGTGTATATTTTGTGTCTTTTGTTTAGAAATTTGTATAATTTTGAATCCGTAACTTCATAATTTTAAAAATAATATGCGATTACTGATCAGATAAATATTTAACATAATATGGTAACAGAAATCACATTATGGATGCAAAAGTGTTTAATACGCCCTCAAGTATAGGCGGGAAAAACCGGAAGCTTAATGAAAGCTTATGTAGAAAAGTTCGTAGTTACGCACTCCTTGGATAGATGGCGGTGTATACGACTTTTTTTCAGACCGAATAAATTGATAGAAAAGAGTATGTTGGTCTAAATTTTTTCAAAATTGGACGTTGATTTATTTTAATTTTGTTTAAAATTTTTTTTTCAAACGTTTAAAAAAAATCATTTAATCGTTTTAAAAATCATGATTCTATGAAATTTTAGTCGTCAGCTTCACATTATTACCATGGATCAATCAAATGAAAAGTGTAGAAAAATAAATTTAAAAAGTTATATTTATGACTATATCATATATTTTGTATTTTTTATAAGAGCAGGAGGCAAACGAGCAACGGAAACACCGAGCTGTTCATCGACGTCTATGGACATCCGCAATACCAAAGGATTTTTGAAGAACCCTAAGTAACGATAACTTAAGTATCTGATAAGATTTTTAAATATGATGTGGAAAAAACTAAGTACTTTGAGAAAAGGAAAACAAATTGGCGTCAAAATATTTTTATGTATTCACTTATTGCTGGTGTTAAAATGTTAAAAATAGTTTTTGTATAGTAGAGGTCATAATTATTAGTTGTGGGCCTTTTTATGTTTTATTCAGAAGTGAACGCGCCAAAACCCGGCCATGCATAATTACCTCCCGTGAGGATCGGAGGGTGAACCACCGACAGGGAATAGAGTGGAGTCGTGTTACTACTAGTTTAATTTATATTATTTATTTGAAAATTATTTTAAAACTAACATTTAATTATTTTACGTACATGCTTATTTCAAATTAATAGATAGCATTAACTAAAAACATTTCGCATTGCATATTTTCTATTTTTATTATATATACGAATATTTTTCATTTTTTTCTCAGGTAGCCATATTACAGTAAAGCTTACTAAAATTATTATATTATTTAAATTATTTATACTTAAATGCTTATTTTTATTTTATAACTTCACAATTCAGCGTAAATAATCCACGTCGATTACTCACTGAAGTAATTAAAATAATAATATTATTTTATACTTGAAGCTATTCTTTGAATGTCTAGACTCTAAATGTTTGATATCTTCTTATCATGAGAGTCATCTTCGTGAGATAGAATTACTATTCCTCTTAATACAATTGACGCACGCCATGGGCAGGAATAGGAACATACAAATTTTATTTTACACTAAAATATTGAATATGGTGTCTTTCAACTAATAATTACGTAGTTACAGAAAGTAAACTTACTACAATTAAATTCGGGAAAAATGTAAAAAAAAATCAAATAATACGAATATTTTATCTACTCCACTCATGCGGCTGTCCGTTACCGGACTCTTTTGTATGCATTTATCGGTGAATTACAACGTCGGACTGCAGCTAAAGTACATACGTATATTAACGTTATTTTACATTCATTGTTTATGCACTATATGTATACGAATCGGCAATATAGATACATTGGAGATACTTAAAAATACATTTGTCTATACTAATATTATAAAGAGCAAAACTTTGAATGTAATGAAAAGGCTCAAAAACTACTGGGTCGATTTTAAAAATTCCTTCACTGCTAGAAAGGTAATTATCTGTGTACAGTACATTTTTTTCATCTTTATTTTTTTTTATTTTTAAATATCACGCGGACGGAGTCGCCGGCAAAAGCTAGTATTCTATACAGGAGTTCCGTATAATTACTACATTTTTGTTTGTTCATTAAAATGTAATGTAAGAACGCGCGCACAACTTTGGCTAAACTATAATACAACTGTTTTGCCGCGCTTTAAATTCTATGAGCTTATATGCAAGTACGCCTACTAAAATAGAGATTTTCAATTGTGCAACTAAACAGTTGAATTGATTGCGAAACAATCGACAGTCAACAATCGCACAGTTGTGCGATAGTTTAGTCAAAGGTGAGCACGCGTTCTAAGTATTATAACTTGGATGCAATTTGTTAACATAAATGGATCTATAAAGCAGAACGAGAAAATAAACATATTAAATCTTATTGTTGTAGTCCTTCGTAAAACAATAATTAAATGAGTACTAAAGATATTTTTTACGGTAAAGTGAAATACTTCATATTAAAAAATCAGTGTTTTGTTTAGGTAGTAGGAATTAATCAATCGCTTTTATTTCACAGTTTATAACTGTGGCGACCTTTTCAGCTCTGACGCTAGTGATAGGAATAAAATTATTGCTCTTATCGTCTGTTCCTTTATAATAAGAAGCTTGTTATAGATTAACTGACACAACATTTAGAAGCAATCTATACTATTATAATAAAGCGTAAACACACACTTCTTTGTTGCCTAAAATGTCAGCAATTACAGCATATTTTTGAATAATTATATTTTTAATAAAAAGCCCTACACTTACCGTCACGCTTTAGGCTATACATTTTAACGCCATTATTCTTAGGTGGTAAATATTTTGAATAAAAACCCTAATGTGGGAAAGAGACCATAAGTTGCTGCCAACATCAAGAAAGCAAGATTGCTAAGGTTGTCATGTCATGTCATTTTGACATTTGCTATTGATAATTTGACAAATGTAAACAATAAAGTAAATTGTTCATAATTTCATGCGGATGAAGCCGCACAGAAACAGCTAGTCACTAATAACAGTTCTAGATATTTAAGTAATCCTGTGCACGTAAGTTAAAGTACATATTAACATCTACCAGTCAGAGATAGTAACATAGATACGAAATATGCATTTAAATATAGAAAAACGAAATTCACATTCCGGGCTGCGAAAAAAACCGTAACATCGCATACGTGGAAATTTAATTACGTGTAAAAATCGAATAAAGAGGAGCACCACGGATATAACCAAATTAGCTGCTGGAGGTAGACACGGTGCGCCGTTCATTAGGCTTGTTTGTAGAAAGCTTTTGCAGGCAAATGAATGGATTTATACGCTGGCTATTAAATCAACGCAGCGGCCAGCAGACAAACAAACGCCTACTGTCTGTGTTTGCTAAGGCGCCCTCTAATTACATACCTAACCTATATCTCCATGTTTTTCATATTTTATATTAATCATTACTTGTCTAACCACTCTTGAAATCTTTAATCCTTGAACGAACTTTGTAACTAACAAAAATTTTGGGACACATCAGTTTAGGTTAGTAAATATAGCATCTGCACTGTATAGTTATATTTTGTTCTTAAAATACAAAGCGTAACTTTTAGTTTAATGCTACAAAAGTAATTGGAACTTTGCCTATCAATGTACAACAAAAGTTTGAAACAAACATATCCCGATTGATCCGATAGCATCCTCTAAAAATGACATGGCGTTTCTATCCAAACAACGAGCACACAACTAACTGAACAGCGAAACACCACAAACCCGAAAACCTACATCCGTACGGATTTTTTAAAAATAAACAAAAGTTGACGAGTCGAGCGAGGCTGAAGTAAATCGA